GGGTTATGGCTCTTTCTTTTTCTTTCTTTCTGGGTTATGGCTTTCTGATCAACATACCACCACCACCTTTCACGTTTCATTCCCACCAGAAGGCACGATGTGACCCAACAAGCAGGCATTGGTGGACATGTCACCACTGTGCGCATGTACACTTCTGTACCCCTATGATTCACCCAGAAAAAGAACAGGAAAGAACTGCATGTTCAAATAGTGCTCCAAATTTTGTCATGTCAAGACCTTTGAAAACCATGGGGAAATTGCAGGAGTCTAAAACTCCTGCAATTTCCCAGGCTAATGGGGTTACAAATGGATTTTTCCTGGAATCAATTAACAGGAAAATGATTGCTAAGCTAGATTCCACTAGCTTTCCATAAGTGGATTTTATGTCATGTGTAAGATCACATAAAATACACAAAAATTACCAGGTAAGGAAATGTCACGGAACTGGAATGACGCACTTTCTGAGTGTACCCAATTATTTCAACCTTTCCTAATAGGACTTGTTTTCCATACCATCCTTGTTTTCCCTCTTCTGAACCCATTCCAATTTCTATAAGGCCACCAAACATTTAAAGCATGTGACTTCCCCCAAGGAATCATGAGAAATGTAGTTTGCTAAGCATGCTGGAAATCATAGTTCTGTGAGAGGGAAACTCGGTTCCCCAGAATTTTGGGGGGAAGTCACATGCTTTAAATACAGTGGTACCTCGGGTTAAGAACTTAATTCGTTCTGGAGGTCCGTTCTTAACCTGAAACTAAGGTACCACTTTAGCTAATGGGGCCTCCCGCTGCCACTGCATGATTTCTGTTCTCATCCTGAAGCAAAGTTCTTAACCCAAGGTACTATTTCTGGATTAGTGGAGTCCGGAACCTGAAGCGTCTGGAACCCGAGGTACCACTGTGTATGGTGTGCAAGCTGCCTACTTCCTTCTCAAACTGCAGCACCCAGAACTGGACCCAGTATTTAATGAGAGGTTAAGCTACTGTAGGATAAAGTGGAGCTGTTATTGCTATGGATTTCATCATCATTTTTCAGAATTTCATCATCATCACCATTGCTATTACTCATTTCAATTGCTTGATGTCTTGAGGTGACATATTATCAAAAATGTACTGCAATTTGAAAAATACAACGGGGGGGGGGAAGCCCCATGCTAATAATAATAATAATAATCTATTACTTGTTGCGACCTAAGAAACTATGGTTCTTATTAATGCAGCTAAAAATTACATTAGCCTTTTCTGCATCACATTGTACAACCCCAAGATTCTTTTCACATATAATACTGTCAAACCAAGTCCCCCCTCATCCCATGCATTTAATTTCATTGCCATCACAGTTTTGTTCACAACTTTGTTTTTGGAAAGGTGTGGCTGGGCCCAAGGCAAAGTGAAGCAGAAAGGAGAAAAACTAGGAGGAGGAACAGGAGAAGAACCACCCAGGTCCTGTATTCCCATATTTAACTTCACAAATGATCTGATACCAGGTCATGAGAAACATCTGTAGGGGAATATTTTTAAGACATTCACTCTATAGCTTTTTTTAAAAAAAGAAATTATGCAACCTGTGTTCAGTCAGACAAACAACAACAACGTGGGAATGAAATAATATTCTATTTCATTGCAAATTAACATGGCTTGAGTGGTCAGATTTCCAACACTGTTTACGAAATATATGAAATAGAAATAGGAAACTATTTCAATTTAAATCAGCCTTTCTTCCTCACTGTTTTAAATCATATACTTTTCTCCCTATATCTACCCCCCCATCCCAAAAGCTCTTTTCCCTCAAAATCCAGCTATATCAACTTAAAGATAAAGGTAAAGGGACCCTGACTATTAAGTCCAGTCCCGAACAACTGTGGGGTTGCGGTGCTCATCTTGCTTTACAGGCCGAGGGAGCTGGCGTTTGTCCGCTTCCACAGACAATTTTTCCAGGTCATGTGGCCAGCATGACTAAGCCGCTTCTGGTGAACCAGAGCAGCGAATGGAAATGCCATTTACCTTCCCGCCTATTTATCTACTTGCACTTTGACGTGCTTTTGAGCTGCTAGGTTGGCAGGAGCAGGGACCAAGAAACGGGAGCTCATCCTGTTGCGGGGATTCGAACCGCCAACCTTCCGATCGGCAAGTCCAAGAGGCAGAGTAGTTTAACCCACAGCACCACCCGCGTCCCTTATCAACTTAGATAATCCTAAACTAGCCAGACCAACATAGCAGCTTCCTATGCTTTTTTTTTTTTTTTTTTTTGCTTTGCAGCTTCTCCAGCAAATAACTACCTTGTGTGCTATTGTAAATTTGTGCATCAAACCAGTCTCATGATTCAGTCCTAGAGGCAAAAGCACTTACTCCCCCAAATTTGATAAAGTTCCCTTCCATAATCAAACTTCAAACCCTTTTTTTCCCCTTTCCTATTTCTGATCTGACCTCATAGAAGGGAAAGACCCACCGCCACCATTTCAGTTGCTTGATTCCCCACCCCACCATCAGAGTTGCAGGATTGTCGAGTGTGTCGCATGCCTAATGTGATCTCTGGCTCTGCCTACCCACTAGCCCTATAACTGCCCTCTGCACCATGCTTAGCCCCACAGGCCCCAGTGGGTACCAGATGCCACTAGTTTATGCTAAAACTATAACCCTCAATGCCCGTTCCCTACAAATCCCTCAGCATTTTCAGTTGACAATCAGCTCACTCCAATTTCATCATCTCCCGGAAGGATTCATTAGCAGTAGATTGCCTCATAGTTTTCTCCATCCCTATCAAGAATGAACCAAACTATGTATTTTATTTTTTAAAGTTCACCTTAAACTTGAAATACAGTTTGTTTTTCTTAGAAGCAGGGGTGGGGGGCCTTTTTCAGCCGGAGGGCGGCTTTTCTTTCTAGGAAACCTTCCAAGGGCAAAATGCCAGTGGCAGTCAGTGCCAGAGGCTAAACTGAATGAAGCAAGAAAGCTAAATGTTACATGTGTATGGTAAGCTAGTTTCTACCATACACGCCTGAAGGGAATATATTTATTTTTAATTGTAAGGAATTTATTTACAAAATTGTAAGGAAGTAACAAGTGCTAAGGGGGGATGCAGGTGGTGCTGTGGGTTAAACCACAGAGCCTAGGACTTGCTGATCAGAAGATCGGTGGTTCGAATCCCTGTGACGGGGTGAGCTCCCGTTGTCCGGTCCCTGCTCCTGCCAACCTGGCAGTTCGAAAGCACGTCAAAGTGCAAATAGATAAATAGGTACTGCTCCGGCGGGAAGGTAAACGCCGTTTCCGTGCCCTGCTCTGGTTCGCCAGAAGCAGCTTAGTCATGCTGGCCACATGACCCGGAAGCTGTGTGCTGGCTCCCTCGGCCAATAAAGTGAGATGAGTGCCACAACCCCAGAGTCGGTCACGACTGGACCTAATGGTCAGGGGTCCCTTTACCTTTAGCTTTACCAAGTGCTACAGGTGCGCCGCCACCACTACAGAACATTGTCTGATAGGCATTACAGTGGTACCTCCGTTTTCAAATGTAATCCATTCCGGAAGACTGTTCGAGTTCTGAAACGTTCGAAAACCGAAAACTCAATAGCTGACAGCTATTGCACTCAGGATCTCATACTCAGCAGAAGCCACGTGGCATGTTCCACTTCCGAGGCATGTTCGAAAACTGAAGCATTTACTTCTGGGTTTACGGAGTTTGAAAACCGAAACGTTCATCAACGGAAACATTTGAAAACCAAGGTACCACACTGTACCTAGAAATGTCCTGCACAGCACAATCTTATGCAAATGTATTCAGATACAAGTCCCCATGCATTCCATGGGGCTTCCTTCCTACCATAGCCTGAAATCCTAAACCCACATAAATGGGACCAAGCCCCATTTAAGTCAAAAGGACTTCCTTCTAAGTAGACACGGTTAAGTTTGCACTGTTGAAATGATTAAGACTGCAGCTGTGGTCTGACACTGAATTGCCTGCTACTTCCAGGGTGTTAGCATGGCCATCCTATAAAATAGGATTAGATTGGCCTAGAAACAGAGACAAATACAATGTGAAGGTCACCTAAGAGAATACTGCCCTGATCTTTTAATGCAGGGGTCAGCAAACTTTTTCAGCAGGGGGCCGGTCCACTGTCCCTCCGACCTTGTGGGGGGTCAGACTATATTTTGGGGGGGTGAGGGGAGGAATGAAAGAATTCCCATGCCCCACAAATAACCCAGAGATGCATTTTAAATAAAAGGGCACATTCTACTCATGTAAAAACACACGGATTCCTGGACCGCCCAGAGGCCGGATTGAGAAGGCGATTGGGCCGGATCCGGCCCCTGGGCCTTAGTTTGCCTACCCATGTTTTAATAGCTTTCTCATTTAAATAAAAAAGCATTTCTGAAGCTCTCCACATCAAAAGCAAATGCAGGGAGATATGCACAGTATATGTCAATCTGTCCCTCCATCCATTTCCACCCCCACCCCCCATGTCTTTTGAACAGTTGTTTACTGCAGCCAACTGCAGAGAAACACAGTGGCTTAACTTGCCAACTCCCTCTGAAGGATTATGTCTTCCAGTGAGCATGCTCCCGCAAGATTTCTTTCTCTCTCCTTTCAGGCATTGCATCCATTTCATGAAATGAGAATGGCAGCAGTGGACATTAAGAAATGCCATTTCAAGAATAGAGTTCACACAACACGTATCAGCCCATAAACAATTCCAAAGTTCACCTTGATGTTCCTTAGCACCATGTGCTATTTACTTCCCAAGGACTGAAAAAACAATCTTCAGTCTCAGATGTGCTTTCCGTCTCATGAAAGCTGTATGTCTTTCGATATAATTCTGTATTTTCTCTCTCTCTCTAGGAGACTGGCGATTATTTTGTCTGCCCTTGACTTTTTCACTAGACACGGAAAGGTGAGGTTTTTGTTATTTGGGGGGATTTTTAAAAAACTGATGAACATAGGAAGCTATCTGAAACTGAAGTCACACCAATCAAGCTCTACAGGATTTCAGGCAGGGAGACTTTCAAAGCCCTACCTGGAGGTACAGGGAATTGAACCTGGAACCTTCTGCATGCAAAGCAAATACTCTGCCACTGAGCTATAGGCCTTCTACAAATCTTTTGAGCACTTCAGTTGGATATAATTTTATTGTATGATAGAAAAACTTAGACCCATTTCCTGGGTCATTCCAAAGGTTTCTCCCTGCCCTTGATGGGCTGATGATGATGAGTTTGGATTTGATATTCCGCTTTATCACTACCCTAAGGAGTCTCAAAGTGTCTAACATTCTCCTTTCCCTTCCTCCCCCACAACAAACACTCTGTGAGGTGAGTGGGGCTGAGAGGCTTCAGAGAAGTGTGACTGGCCCAAGGTCACCCAGCAGCTGCATGTGGAGGAGCTTGGAATCGAACCCGGTTCACCAGATTATGAGTCTACCGCTCTTAACCACTACACCACGCTGCTCCCTTTGACGCCTATTTCTGGACCTCGTTATGAGCCCAGTATGACACACTGCAAACTCTGGGAAAAGGAACTGGGGTTTTTTCCCCTCCCAGTCCCTGGGCCAATGGGATTTTTCCTTCTCTGTTCTTTTATTCTGATCTATATTGGTTTCTTTTTGCTCTTTAAAAGGTAACTGCAGAACTGATTATCTTTTAAAGAGACCCATATATATTAAATTAAAGATCTCTAAAAACCTGACTCATCAGTGCTTTGGGGGGAAAGGTGATGAAGTCTGGAAGACATTTATATGTTGGATTCAATAGCTTCCTTAATTTCAACGGGCCTATACCGAGTAGCGCTAACATTGCATATAACCCACAATATTTTACCTTATTCCAATTTGTGTGGATAGTAACATAATAGGCAGTGCTACTTTTCTAGAAAATGAGGTGCCAGAACTCACCATGAACACCTCCCTTGTTCTCTTATAATGGCAATGGTGCCCATGTGAGAGGTGCCGGAACTGAGTTAAGGTGAGTTACGCTGAAAAAACAGGGTTAATCACTATACAACACTAGACTTCATCAGATCTGGGTATAGTCAGTATTTGAATTTCCTGTTTTTGTTGAGAGACACAATAAAGTTCTGATTTGGTTTCCTGACAGGTGGGTCCTCCAAGCTTTCCATCACAATACTAAAAACTTCACTTGCAGAAATCATATCAACTCTTGTGCTGCAGTCCAGCAGTGTCACTTTTGAACAAGAGCCAAGCTTAGTTCCCATTTATAGTGTGCATTCACCATTTTACATTACCTCAAATGTAATGCCCTGGCCAATAGATCTATGAAATTTATTGATTTCATAGCTCTGTAGCAGAGCTTTCCAAACTTTTCATGTTGGTGACACACGTTTTAGACATGCATCACCTTGTGACACAGTAATTCAGCTTTACTAGCAAACTGGAGGTTAAACTAACCCCTTTTAAGCCCCAGGAAGAGCACAGGAAGAGCTTGCATGACACACGTACACACTGCAGCTGACACACTAAACGTGTCATGACACAGAGTTTGGACATTTCTGCTCTACAGCCTAGATAGATGGGAAACGGGGAGAGGTTGCAGCAGTCATCAGAAATGTCAAGCCAAGGGCCCCAAAAGATCCGGCTCCACCCCTGATTGTAACCTGTCAGAAGTCAGGACATCAATAAGAAGATGAGCTGGCCCATTAATCCCCATCTAGGAACAAGCTTCCCTCCTTGAAAGTTGGAAATTGGTTCCTATGGATTTCCTTTTTCAAAGACACTGGCCTAAATGAGCAGTCGATAATACGTGATTGCGTGACAATGGCCATCACCACTTGCAGGCCTAGACACAGAGGAAATGAATTGGAACATTAAAACCCACGTTCATCTTATAATGCCAATGCAAGCAAATTCTCTCCCAACCACCTTAAAAGTAGGGCTAGAAATCACTGGTGGTGTTTGTTTGTTTGTTTGTTTGTTTGTTTGTTTGTTTAATAAAGATTAGCAGCACTAATAGTTGCCACTTCCTAACGGCAATACTTTGCAAGGAAAGCAGGCAGGTAAAAGAAGAAAACTTTTGTTCGGCCAAGTATCTTTGGCATAAAGTGTTCTTAAGAAATATACTGAATAAATTACAACAATAACAGTAATAGTCTTGACAGGTTTAGGAGGACGCATGAAATGGCAATGACTACGGATATTTTTAAATTGTCACCATTAATTCCCAATCACTATGACCCACTTGATTTTGCATTGGGAATTTCAGACCCACATCCCAGTGATACACTTGACATTAAACACCAGCACTATCCAACTTAATAAACATTTCCTGTGCAACGCAAACCCGTGCATGTTCACTCAGGAAGAAATCCCACTTTGTTTCGGCGAGGCTTACTTTCAGGCAGCTGTGAACAGAACTGCAACCTTCAACCACTGAACTCACCTTTGTGGTTTTCCAAGGGAAATGTGAGAACAGAAACAGCTTAGCACCTTTTCCCTTTCCAAATAACAGATTTGAAGGGATAACAAAGAAAGGCGATGGAGACACACACAGTGGTTTAAGAGTGTAGGAGAAGTTAGGTCTGTTATACAACCACAGAAATGGATACTGGGGAGGGACCAATTCCACCCATGTGATGGCCAGGCTTACAGTCCCTGGCAGATGGCCACCCAACATCTGCTTAAAAACCTCCAATGAAGGAGAATCTACCACCTTCCAAGGTAGTGTATACCATTGTCAAGCAGCTCTTACCAGGGGTTAAGCTCACTGTCAAGCAGCTCTTACCAGGGGTTATATTTGTTTCAAATGCATGGTGTGGACATGCCACTACAACATCTTGAGGGCTCAGTGTAGGCAACCTTTAGAGGTTTTACACCCTCACGTATCACTGACCCCTTTTATCAACTTTTGTGTGCATGTGAAGGCTGCCACTTTTGTAGGCGAAGCAGAGAGAGGTAGAGGGAGAAGTAAAGTATGTTTGGTCACCCTGCCGCTACACTGTCTCTTAACCCACACCCAAAACAGTCTTTACCAGCATGGCTTCCCACAAAGAATCCCAGGAACTGTAGCTCGTTAAGACTGCTGGGAACTGTAGCTCTGCGAATTGTCTTCTAATACCTCTCAGAACCCTTAAACTGCAGTTCCCATGATTCTTTAGGGAAAGCCATAAAAGTGATATTAACAGTGCTCCAAATGTATGCTGTGAATGTGACCAAAGTCTGGTCTTGGGATGATGAGGTCCGTTTTTGAATCAGGTCCCATTTTCAAGGGAAGCAGCAGGTCATCCAGTGGGGTGTCCAAAGCTGTTTCCTCGTGCATAAAGCATTAAACCCAGACAAGAGAACAGAAATGGCTCAGGTATTCTTTATGAAGTCAAAATGTGAGAAAGCAATAAATTATCTCACAGCAGGCCAGGCTCAAGTTAAAAGACTGGGAAGGAAGAAAAAGCAAGGAGTTCAAGCATTTCCCCATCAGAGATCACCAGTCAAGTTAAAAGGAGGGGGATGTGGGAAAGTGGGAATCCCCCTCACAATCAGCCACAGTTCAGGTAAGTGGTATCGAAATTACTGGGGGTTTTTTTTAGAACCAGCCAGCTTGATTATTGCTCAGGGCAACCCTGTGTTTTAACTCAGAAGTAAATCCAATTGGCCACATCCACACTGTCACAAAGCTTTTAAGAGCCATGGCTCCCTGCACAGAATCCTGGTGTGGCTTGTTAAGCATGCTGAGAGCTGTTGGGAAACCCACTATTCCCCTCACAGAGCTATCGTTCCCAGAGAATTGATGGTTAAAACTCATAATCACACTGTGCACCTTGACTGTGGGGGACCATTTGCTCCTTTGCCTCAGGCAGCAACATTTATTGTACCTATGAGTCCAGTCAACTATGGCCAATGGCCATGCTGACTAGCATGATGGGAGCTGGAGGGCCACAGCTTCCACATCCCAAGCTAAAAAAAAAAAAAAGGTACCTTGTTCCTCTGATGGTTCAGCAAGAGATCACAGCAAAAGATCTGAGAACTACAACTGGAGAAAAGAATCTGTATTGAGCCTTGATTTGCAAATGCCAGTTAAAATACAACCTGCAGTATCTGGACTAGAGGCAAATGCAATCCATCTCCAAAAAGAACAATTCCAAAATGAGTCAGGAGCTCAGCAGTCATGTTCTCCTGGCCTCCTCCAAATCTGATGGCGATCTCCTCATTTAAGTTGCATCCACTTGGTGAGCCCTGGGATTTCATGCCAATCACTCAAAACAATTGACCCTCCAAACCCCTCTCCTTTCCTGTATGGACAAGCAAGGAATGCATTCCTGTGTTTTTGTCCTCTCCTGCATTCGATTGCAAAGCATAGAATAAGCCACTTACCTGACTATAATCCTAGTCTAGCCACACCACTCCAAATTTCATCCCTTTAAGCTGCATGCTGGCTATTCACATCCACAGAAAAAGACAGGTCTTTTTCTGCTGCTTTTATATTTCAATCCACTTTCTGTGTCCCGCCCCCCCCCCCCCCGCTCCATCATTAACATAAGTTGTCATTCATTGGCCTGGAGATGCGCCACTCCACCTGACATAACTGAAAGGGAAAATAAAAGGAATTGGTTCAGCATTGCATGCTCAGGCTTTTGGCCTTAGACAAACTCAGCTCTTATCTGATCAGCTAGGCTGACCCCCTTCCCAAGCACTGAACTCCATGTGAACTATTCCCCACGCTAAGGAAATATTTCTTCACACAGGGCATAGTTAAGATATGGAATTCCCTCTTTCACTAGGTAGCAATGGTGACCTATTTAAATGGCTTTAAATGTTGATTAGACAAATTCATGGTTGATGATGCTATCAATGGCAATTAGCCACATTCTACCTCCAGAGGCAGTTTGTCTCTAAATCCCAGTTGCTGGGTACCGCAAATGGCTGTTGCACTCGGGTCCTGATTTCAGGCTTTCCACAGGTATATCCAGTTAGCCTCTGTGAAAACAGGATGTAGGACTAGATGAATCTGACCTCATTCAACAGAATCTTATTACACTTTTAATGTGTAAGAAACTTTTATGCCACAATGGTATATTTGCATTGTGATGTAAAATGGAATAAAATTAACAAAATTAAAAAAGAAAAAAAAACTTTTATGCCACAATGAGC